GGATTCTAGAAATGTGCTTCTATTTCCTTTTTTTCAAATAGAGTGACTGAGTGGTTGGACCACTCCTCAGTTAATATGTAGTTCCAGAATGGGATTAGAACCTAAATCTTCTGGCAAGTAATCCAGGGCCCTTTCCACAGGCTGAAACAGTGCTCAAGACTGGCCAGATCAGGGCTGCCCCAGGTTTTTTTCAAATGTTCACGGATGTGATTACCTGACAACAGACCTCATGTCTTACAACTAAACTCTCTCCTGCACATGACCAATCGGCCTTGGCCACTTTCAAACCGTTGGCTTCCTAACTCTGGATCTCCATGGTAAATTCTTTTAATGGCAAGAACATGTATTACCTCTTTATACCTCCTGGCACCTGGCACAACTACCCTTTTTAAACTTTGAGATACAGATTTATATGCAGTTGTAGGAGACAATACAGAGAGAGATCTGGTTTTTACCGTTTTCTCCAATGGAAAGAGTTTAGCTTATAATACAACCAAGGTGCTGACATTGATATAAGCCACTGATCTTTTTCACGTTTTCCCAGCTTTCATTGTACCGTTATGTGTATCTATACAACTCGCTTACACGTGCAAGTTTCAGCGTCCAGATGCAGAAGTCCATCATTCAGAGCTCCCTTTTTACAACCACACCCATTGCTTTCCTGTGCTCTCCCCACTCCGTTCCTACACTCTGGTGACCACTAATGGTTACTGGGCCTTATTCACTCGTCACAACTCACTAGAGATTCATCCAGATTGCTGCTGTGTCAGTAGTTTGATCCTTTTTAGTGCTGAGAGTATTTGGTCATGTTGATGTACCACTGCTAACCATTTGGGGTTGTTTCCTGAGCTTGGCTACTAGGAGTAAAACTGCTATGAAAATTTGTGTACAGATTTGGGTATAAATGTTTTTATTTATCCGCGATAAATGCCTAAGAGTGCAACTGCTAGGTCGAAGAGGAATTGCATTTCCCCTTTCACACACTCCTCCCCTTTGGCAACCATTGGCTTGTTCTAACTATGGGCCAGTTTCGGTTTTATTTATTCGTTTTGTTTTTTAGGTTCAATATAAAAGTGAGATCATATGGCACTTGTCTTTCTCTGACATGTCAGCATAATACCCTCTGGTTCTGTCCATTTACAAATGGCAAGATTTCATTTCTGTTTGTGGCTGAGTAATATTCCATTATATATGTACCACATCTTTATCCATTCTTTTACTGATGGTCAGCTAGGTTATTTCCATATGTTGGCTATTACTATCATGTTTCCCCGAAAATAAGACCTAGCGCAACTTTGGGAGAAAAAATTAATATAAGACACTCTTATTTTTGGGGAAACAGGGTAATAATGCTGGGGAAACAGGGTAATAATGCTGCAATGAACATGAAGGTGCAGAAATATATTTTCAAGTGACTGTTTTCATTTTCTTCAGATAAATACCTAAAAGTAGAATTGCTAGGTCGTGTGATAGTTCTGTTTTCAATTGTAGGCGCCTCTGAACTGTTTGCCGTAGTGGATGTACCAATTCACCCGCAGGGCACAAGGGTTCCTTTCTGTCCACATCCTCACCAATACTTTTATTTCCTGTCCCTTATCAAATACCCATTCTAACAGGTGTGGAGTGAGGGGACATCTTACTGTAGTTTTGATTTGTATCACCCTGATGTTTAATGATGTTGAGCACCTTTTCGGGTACCTGTTGGACATCCATGTCTCTGGAAAAATGTCTACTCAGATCTGCTACCCATTTTTAAATTGGATTACTCGGGGATTTTTGCTATTGAGTTGTTTCTATATTTTGGATATTAACCCTTATTTGCCAACATGTCCTCCCATTCAGTGGGTTGACTTTTCCTTTTGTTGATGGTTTCCTTTGCTGTGCAGAAACTTTTTAATGTCCTGTTTTTCGTTTTTGGTGTCAGTTTTTTTGTGTGTGTTTTTTTAAATCACCACCAGACCAATATTAAAGAGCTTACCACTTGTTTTTCTCTAGTTTGTATAGTTTCAGGTGCCGATTTTCAAGTCTTTAATTCATATTGATTTTCATGTCTGGTGTAAGATATGGGGTCTAGTTTTCCCAACACCATTTATTGAAGAGGCTATACATATTCTTGGCTCCTTTGTCGTAAATTAATTGACCATACATGCATGGACTTATTTCTGAGCTCTCTATTCTGTTCCTTTGATCTATTTTTATGCCAATACCATACTCTGATTATCACACCTTTGCGACTGGTCTGAAATAAAAAGCGGGTGGCACTTAATGCATCTTCCATACTTAGCTTTGTAGTGTTGGGATCCGGGGACTAGCCTAGTTCAGCTCCACACACTGAGAACTGAACAGGCTGAAGAGTGCATCTGCCAAGGCCACCCATCAAGATCTCCTTCACTCCTAGTCCAAACCTCATCAGTTCCCTCCTAACTCACACTTTTCTACATATCACTTGCTATGCATGTTCAGGAAACATGCAAAAGCATAAAGGAGAGAGAGTTCAGTGGCTTATCTTCAGGGAAAGTCGGGGGTTGACCTAGAACTTGAAAAGCTTGGCCCTCTCGTCCCTCCCTGCCACAGCAAGGGCTACCAGCTGCTTGAAGGAATGTCCAACTTTTTCTCTCTGCACGGTTCCAGGTCCCCAGAAATTTCCCATCGGCTCCTCAGAGATGTGGCCTAACCTGTACCACACCTGGATTTCCACATGTCACCCGGTTAATTTAGTGTGTCAGTAGGCAGTTCAGACAGAGGTGGCCATGGCGAGCTGCCTCCATTTCTGAGTGGAAAGGCTCATGAGCAGCCTCAGGAAGAGCCGAGGGGTAGGGACCTGGGAGACGCTCTTGTAAACCCAGGAGCAACTGATGGGCTGGAGACTGACTTGGGGTAAGAGTGGGTGAAGTCTTCTAATTGAGGGTCTGTGTCGGGGCTCAGGGAGAAAGTGCTTTTTACTTATCTCAGCGTTATTAGTTACTGTTTCTAAAACGGCCGTGTGCAGGTGGTAAAGCTCGTTTTGTCCTGGAGACAGAGCACCGTTACCTGTTTTTAGTAAGAAAAAAAAAAATCTGGATACAACCGACAGAATGAAAAGCAAGTCTCATTTGAGATATACAAGATATGTCTACAACTTGGGTACAGTAAGTCCATGTTACTCAGCTGTGGCCCACAGAGCCAGGCTGTGCCTGTTAAGACCCCCAAGAGATTTGTATGCAGATTAATCTGACAAGCATGACCCTAGAGCGGTTCAGGTACAGTAAACACAGCTGAGAAAAGCAGACTGGCCACAGGAACGCAGGGTGAGAGGGTGCTGACGCAGCCATGGGTTGAAAGAAGCTCTCGGCAGGACTTGCAGATTCCAGCTTAGGTGGGAGTGTGCGTCAGCACCCAAGTTCCTCAGCGTTCCCGTGACCACTGGCTCAGCTGAGCCGTAGTGTGGAGTAAAAATAATTCACTTCCTGTGGCTCAGGCGTCACTTCAGCCAAACATGGAGCTCCTCTGTCCCTTCTCCTCCCCTCTGGGGTTGACAGCTACAGGGCAGAGGCGGCGTCTGTTTTTGTCACTATCCTTTCTGAAAACCTCTGAAGATCGCAATGATAACAAGCTCACAGAATATCTGAGATGATTAAACAAACAAGCTACACCACCACCCCTTTAGTTGCAGAACTCACACATTCAAGTTTTCAGGATTCTCATCCCATTCTTTTATTTCCTCATCCCACAAACATTTAGTTTATCTGCCTTTTTACAACCTGATTTACAAGCAAATGAAAAGCAGGCATTCATTAATCCTCCAAAGAGCATGTATGAAACATAGCACAAACCCTAGTATTTATACCTAAGCAGACTTAGCAGAAGCAGCTTCGTCACAATCTCTTAAATTCATATTAGTTTAAATATTGATGCCTGTTAAGGTTTGTATAATCTACTGTACATAGTTATTTGTGAAGCAGGGTAAGACTTTAACTGGGAAAAAACCTTCAACAAAATGCTCTAACAACAATTATGTGAAACGTATTTACAGTTAAACACTTAGGGGCTTGGTTCACAAAACTTAGTGCATATCATGATTTCCTGAAGAGTTTCACGGAGAAGGGCATAAGCAGCAGTAGAATATCCTCCAGGTAAAACCTAAAGCAAATGGCTTTTATCGATATAAAAATGCCTGTCAATATGCTTACTGGAAACTAGAAAGAAGGAAAAAAACAACCTTCAACAACTGCACCTGATTTGCACATTTAAATAAACAGCAGCAACCAGGACAGACACAGGAGCAGGTGCCATTTTTGAGAATACTCTATATTATGCACAGGAGGAAAACAATCGCCCCCCCCCCCTTTTTTTTTTACAAAAAAATCACCCCAAATATTCACTACATGTGAACTTGGGGTAAAGGTTTCCTGCCGAAGGACAGTACCTTTCATAACAGCCATCAGCTCGATGAGTTTACCTGGTGGTTAGCTATTCCAATTTCAAAGGGAACAGATAAGGTGCCAGAGCCCAGGGTTACCCCTGAAGCCCTCAAATGGATCCAACAGTGATTTTACATACAGAACGGAGATGACTGAAAGAACATCAACAAGACAAACTGGTTTTACAGTGAAGTGATCAATTTCCGGGGATCAGGTAAAGTCTTTTACAAACAAAAACACAAATATTTACAGTAAACATTTTTAACTCTGGAATGCAGATATAGTACAATTACTAGAACATTACATTTACAAAACTGCTTGGGCAGTTGTTACTCCAGAGTGAGAATTAGAAAATGTACAAGCCAGTTCACAACTTTAGATATGTTATTAAAATACATTGTTAATCATAAAAATACTTTACTATGTACATGTTCACTGTAAAAACTCTAGATTTACCTGCTGAAGGAAGCCTCTCCCTCCATTTCCAGCCCATTGGCCCAGGACACGCTTCAGCCCTGTCACCTGGTGTTCACACCACGCTCTGGCTGGAGCTGCGGCCAGTTCTCGGAAGAAACAGCAAGCGTGTCCCTCTGCAGGGGTCTAGTTGGAAGAGTCCGTTTTACTGCTGCTGTATTTTACTCTCTTAAATGCTGGTCCAAGTAACTCTGGGCATTCACATAATTCATTTGCAATTTGGTTGCACTTTAAAATAAGGCTATAGTTTATTTGATCGGTTATTACACTGTCTTGCTTGTAGTCAGGATGGTTTGCAATAAACTCCCTCATCCATTTGGCGATTGTCATTAGTTCTCCTGAAAAAGAAAAAAAAAAATTAAGGCACTTTAATAATAGTGCTCTTCAAAATAGTAGTGCTTTTTAAAATATAAGTTGACATTTGGCTAGGATGAACAATCCTGAAGAAAAACCAGCGTGACCTTTTGGTGTGGCCAGGTGGCAGGGCTGGGGAAGCATGTTTTCCATAGTGTTTGCAGGACTCCTCCTGGGAAGGAATTCTAGGCTGCAGGCAGCAACTCGACCACACACATCCCGTGCTGCCTGGCCGATGCTACCCGCACACGGGCCGACACTGCCAGCTCGTAAGAAACGAGAACCAGCATGTGCACTAAGGCATTTGGCCAGAGGGCTAAGACCACATATACTGGCCATGTCATGAGACTGCCTCAGAGGATAGCAGGTCCCGAGTTTTCCAGAGCAACCTTTGCTCAAAGAGGTGGAGAGAAAAAAGGACAGTAAGTGGAGCAAATGGAGAGGAGAAACTGGCATACATACCATCGGGGGTACATCCCGTGTAAAATGGATGCCATTACCACCATCACTGTTGCTCTGGTTCACAGCTGATGGCTCCCCTAGGCTAACGGGAGGGACTCCTGGGGGTGCTCACCATATGCAGCAGGCTGAGACCCCGACGGCCTCACTGTGTTGTGATGGTGCACAGTGAGCACAGCTGGACCTCAGTGACGAGGCAATCTAGACACTGTGTCCAAAATGTCAACTTAAAGATGCACCAATTTTATGAATCGGTATTAAACAGCACTGCTAATTAAACTGTGACTGTGACTATCAAAGATTACAAGGTGTATCTGATTGTAAAGATGTCAAAATGTGAAAAGGTGTGTATTAATAAATGCATCCTTTTAAACAGCGGTCACCAACCTGCGGTCTGTGGACCACTGGTGGTCTGTGAAATCCGAAAAGTTGGTGACTGCTGCTTTAAAAGGCACCTTGAAGAATCTGAGTATTCTAAGATTGAGAGATTGTGCCTACATTGAGATTTGTTTTTTGTGCCTACATTGATTTGTTTTTTAAAGAAAAAAAGAAAGGAAAGGATTCCATACCAGATGCTCTCTTCTTAATCAGCTTTAGGTAGTTCAGAATACTACATCTGGTGTCCACATCCACTTCCATGTTTTCCAGGTAGCAGTTGAGAATCGGGATCAGCCCAGGAAACACGCCTTCCTACAAGAAGCAGGATGTGCCATGAGCTTATAGTACTTCCTGCTTGTGGGTGTCAGCCGGCAGGCAGTGGGCTCACAGGACCCTACCTTCCCATTGATGATGGTGTCGATGCTCATCAGGGCATACTCCTCATGCTCCTCTGTGGCCAGCTCCGGGCTCTGTTGGGCCTTGCCATAGCCGTCCACCACAGCGTTGCCACCTGCTGGTGACGGCAGAGCAGTGTTAGTGGCTTGTTGTAGCCTAAGAGACCCCAGAAATCCAAGAGGATGTAATACCTTTACAAATATCTTTCCTGAAGTAGAACATTCCCTGCAGCACAGCATCTCGTTTCTGTGCGACTTTCATGTTTTCATCAACCTGGGGAGAAAAATAACATGCCTAACTCAGAACACTCTGGACCAACCAGAGCTGTGCCTCTCACTTCTGCCATCAGGACTCGCCTCCCTCAAGTATTCTACCGTCCTTCCCGCGGTTTCTGGTCAGAAGAGCAGACTTTTCACTTTTATGTGGGGACTGTATCACTCAACCGCAAGTTGGGATGTGATTTTTTAACAATAATGGGGGGAAAGAGCAGCTCACCTTAAAAAAACCTATACTCACGTAGGCTGCCTGCATTTCAAGGCACCTTTGTGACTGACCTACTAGGAAACCTGTCTTGAGGGCAGGTAGCTGGCTGGCTCCCTTTACACAACACACGACTCCTCCAAGACCCCAGGTGAGGAAAGGCAGGGAACCCAGTCCTGGCTCCCAGTTCAGTGCTCTGCCCCCGCCACCCCAGGGGTTTTGCTGCCTCGCTTGCTGTCAGATCTGGACCGAGCTTAGCTCTCCAGGAACAGAGGGTCAGCAACACTGTCTGCCCTGGCCATGTCCACTTATTCACCAGACCAAAACCTCTTCATCCGTGAATTTTCCATTTCTCCAGTGACTTTTCAAGACTCACAAAGAGCTTTTAAAGCTTCTTCGCAATCCCTTACTTCCTATGATGAAATCTGAGGGGATTCTCAATATGAAAGACCCAAGCTAGAGGGTCACATTGAACTAGCATGGGCTATACCAAGTCTTTGATTACTTGGCCTCTTCAGCATATTCGTTAATTCCTACTGTTGTTTTTTTAAAAGACACACATGACCTGAATAATCTAGATACCTCTAGAAACATATTCAAATAACTGTCTAAAATTCTACCATGGTCACTGCCCTAGCCAGTTTGGTTCAGTGGATAGACCAACCAGGGCTGGGGACTGAGTCTTCAACCGAGGTATATGCCCTTGATCGGAATCAGACCCTGGACCCTCAAGTCTGTGGGCAGGCACTATCCACTGAGCCGAACTGGCTAGGGCCATTTACTGAATTTAAAAATTGTGGCTACCATTGTTCTGTTTCTAACAACTGTTCTCCAAATGCTCTGTGGTCCACAGTGCTTGCTTCATGGATGTGAGCCTTCTCCAGAATTTCCTCTCAGGCACTGGTTAGAATTTAAGACTTCTTTCCAATTTCTTGAATTAACTGTGTTTCACTGAGGGTAATATAGGCTCTTTAAGGCCATTAAAAGTTCTTTTAGACATTATTGTAAACAAAGGCTTAGACTGGTAGCTTCCATGAACTATGCCTCACATGGGCTGCTCTCCCCAACAGGTACTCCCCAATCTGTGGGCCCACGGAATTCCACGGCCCACTTTGGCCTGGGTGTGAGCACGCAGAGGCAACCTGGCAGCCAGACTGCCTCCAGGGACAGGGGCAGCTGCAGTGCCCCCTGGGGGGGAGCAGAGCTCCGGGGTTTCTTCCTCCTTCCACACTTGCTGGAACGGGGCTGCTCTGCTCTAACACCTCACCAGACACCCCGTTCTGCCTGGCAGCATTTCCCAGCCTTTCTCTCTGGCTCGGGAACCAAAATTTTCTATTTGTTGCCTCACAGCCTATTCTGAGGCTCTGCCAGGAAACTGTTTCTGGAAGATTCCTTTTCTGTTTTTTATTGGGCTGGGGCTGATTAACCCTGATTTGTTTTTCTGATGGTCCAAGCCATCACATTCTCCAGGAACAGCTCCAGTTCAGCCGCACTGCAGGGACTGTCCCCTGCACTCCAGCAGCTACCCATTCTCCTTGCATCCTAAGTTTAATACTGTAACCAAAAGAATAGGACAGAGGGAGAAGCATTTTTTTCTGAAGAGTGAACAATTCTAAATGAGCTCACATTTAAAATTAATATGTTATATAAAAGAACAGAATAGTCTACAGCTATCCAGACCCACTGCTACCCTTTATCACTCTCTTACCTTTGATAGTGGAATGAGAAAATCTAATTTGTATGAAAGGATCACTCTCGTGAGCAGCACCACAAACACCACATACGCAGAGTTCTCGAAGTCTGTTAACTGAACCTAGACAGGCAGGAGTCCAGAAGTTAGCAACCCACCACACAAGCAAGCCATTCCCCAACAAAGCCCTCCTCGGACCACATCACCCCCAATTCCCCATCGGGGTCTGGGTCTCCTCACAATCTATTCTCAGAAATCAACCTCCTAGCTTTTGGATGTGCTGACTGTGTGCACACACTTGATCTGTATTGGCTTCTATTGAATTTAGGAGCCTCTGCTAAGAGCGTCAGAGGGTGGTGGACAGACAGAAGACGGGTGCATGTGAGTTTGCTCCTGCTGACCCTCATCTTACCTCCATGGGCCGGAATTCCACTCTCCATCCAATGTCTGAGTTTGGAGGAGGAGGTTTAAATCTCATTGTCTGCCAATTTGTGGACTGAATGTTCTGTAATAAAAAAGGCAGAGAATAAAACCAACTTTCCATAGCCACAGAAAATACGAAGATGATTTGATAGTTAATGAAGGAAGACTGTTTGCTGCCCATACCTAATACTCTTTAATTTATAAGTACAAAAAAGGTAAAATTTTAAGATTTTCTTGGAATGTGACCTGCTAGGAAAACAAACAGCAAGTGTTTAATAAAAGCTGGGTGATATGCCAGCAGCACTGTAATAACTGACCAGGTTATTTTTATGTAGCATGCTTGAACTTTTCACCATGCTGCAAATAAGAGAAAATGTTGAATAAGAAATTTAGAACTGGAGATATAACCTGTAGGAATCATAATAAAAGTACCTTGAACCAACTTAAAATGTGTCTTGGTTTCTTACTGCACTAGATAATGAAAGGCACATGAGGTTTTCCACTGGCCAATTTCTCACAGACACAGAAAACTGCCTCTCTCTTGGTTAGTGAGATAAAAATGCATTTAAAACAGGAACTACCTCAAAATGGTCAGACTCATTGGCATCATCCAGGTGTATTTTCTCTTCAAACAGAGTCAGCGGGTCTCTGATAAAGAGATGAGCAACATGCTGGGCCAGGAGGTGGTCAATGCCTGCAAAGAGAGGTGGCACTGGACTCACTACACCGCTCAAGGCTCCACTGTCCTCCAAGTCCCAAAAGAAGACAGGACAGCTCAGGAGGTTGTAGAGCGAGTACCTAGAAGCTCAGACAGTGGCTGGTTGGTTCGGCATTCTCGTGTCGCCCAGGACCTTATCCTACGGGCCCTGGGGAAGCGCCGGAGTTTCATTCGCTACTTACACAATGCCTGTTGGGGCACTGGTGGGACCTAGATACAGATCTCCAAAGTTCGTTCCTTTTGCTAAAAGTCAAGAAGATCTCACAAGTATTTGGAACTTGAAACTTTAGGAACAAGCAGCATCCTAAGAAAAGTTAGAGACTTCACACTAAAATCAGAAATCAGACCAGGAGTCAGCAAAAAAGTTTAAGAGAGTTTTGAAGAACTAAAGACATACAATCAAATCTGGGGGGGGTGGGGAGGGGGAGGCATGGATGCTCACCTTCCTGCAACAGTTGATCATAGATTTCTTTATCTATTGTCAATTCGATGTCATTGTATTTCTCGCCACACTGGGACAGGTAACTGTCTATTGAATCATATCGGGATTTACTAATCCTATAGTTATTGTTCTTCAGTGGCTAAAATTTAAAAAATGTGAATGAATGCCATATAAAATCATCTGAAAATAAACTTATGCCCCAAATAATTTTATTAAAATGCTGTATGTTTTTATATATAATAATTATATTAAAATGTCTAATCTTAACATAAAACTCTGAAAAATAAGTTAACACTGAAAAGTAATATTAGGGAAAATTATATTTTAAAATTAAGTAGGCCTTTTGCATGATGATTTAAATATACCTTAACTTTTTCTTTTTTAAAGCACATCACCTTCATTCTTATTAAGCTTCAAAAATAAATGCCAAGATTGACAGCAAAATAATAATAATAATAAGCCTATACTGTAAAAGAAAACTTTCAAAATGATTTCTCCTTTAAAGTTCACCTTTTTTTTTTTTTTAAGCAAATTCAACAATGTATGAACAACTGCATGAAGAGCAGAGCAGCAGTAGAATGCCCTGGTTCAGAACATCAGAATTACTTTGGAGGGCTCCTTTAAAAACACCTATGTCAAGGTTCCAGTCCTGGGAAAATATTAAAGATCTGAGATGGGTCTAGTTTTTAAAGATCTCCAGAGCTGGTTCTGGTAGATATTCTTGGTTGGAGAAATGCAAGGTCACAGTTCAGCAGGCAAACAAGAGGCACTAACTGACTCTTATAAGGCAAAGCCTAACCCTTCATATGAGGCAAAAAAATCTTTGACAGCAGAGTACACTTTCCACAGCAGAAAGCATCATATACAAAGCACTCATGTAGCGCCAAAAAGCATTTGGTAAAACAGCCATCAGCAGTGACTGCCAAAAGATTAAAAAACAAAAAAACTACACTCTTAATTTTAGAAGATAAAACAAATACAGATTTCAACAAATGATGAAAATTAAAAACCCAACCAAACCAAATCACATTTCCCACATGTTCATCCTAGAACAAACACTATAATAAAGCCAAAGACAGGTTTATAAACCATGAATTTCTTCCCATATGTGACTAACCTACTCAAGATAAAAATTTGAGGGAAACTTTAGAATCACAAGTATTTATTACAATAACTCTGTTTAATGTGCTTGATATAGAAAGACTATTAAGGAAAAATCATTCCCACCTCCAGTCCTCTCTCCTCCCGAGTTCTATCATCTACAGATGCAGAAATCACGCCCCAGCGACAATCAACGTCTGACACATAGCCTCGGTAAAAAGGAGACGCAGCACTCAAAGCCATCTAAAAACAAACAGAAGTCAGCACCTGCAGGTTCAAAATGTCACTTTCATGCTGAAAAAAGCTCCATGCAGTTATCTCTGGTCACGAAGAATCAGTTATGCAAACATAGCTCTACAGCACTATCTGTGCCTGTTTCTCATAGTGAAAAATCCAAGCATGACTGAAATCCCTGGATCTTATACATTTAACTTCCTCTTTCTGATTCGAGGACATAAATGGCTAACATTCGAACTTAACACTTTAGCACATAAATGTCTTACTAGCAATGGTAATGGTCTACAGCTTAGACTTAGTCCACTGGTTCTTAATCTACATATTATCTGGGTTAGTTCATTTCTGAATGAAGTCTTCAATGGACTTAACTAGCACACTCAGCAAATTTCGCACATGCGGTCTTTATTCTATGCCAAGAAGTATTTAAAATAAGGTATGATTTCTACTTACGACAATTGGGCAGATAGTTGCCAACTGATCATACAGGTATCTAGCCTCGGAAATGCTGCAGGCTTGGAACGTTACCTGATTAAGAATTACAAATTATTAACAACAAAGAATCATTAACATCCTCCCCAAGGAGAGAAGTCTGGGAAGAAGACTGAAGAAGGGAGGGGCCTGGTATGTAATGGTCATTCCATTGATGAAATATTTAATAAAGGAGTTTGTTTAAAAGCTTGCCCTAGATGAATTTTGCTAGAAAATGGTATTTAATCATGTTCAAAGCTAATATAAATAAGATAGAATTTAAAAGTCGATAAAGAAAAGTAAGACACTAGATAAATGATAAGAGTTCATTAGGCATTTCCTTTTCTACTGGTTTCTTTCAAGAGCTTCCCATTTGCTTCAGTTGGCTGAGAGGTTACACGCATTTTGGTAAAAAGGAGACTTGGAGATACTAAGGATGGGTTTCAGAGTGCACTGTGGCAGCATCAGGAACAGCTTGGCAGGGGCAAGACTGGAGGAAGGCAGGGAAGTTCAAATGCTGCATCCGCCTAAGAAAAAGGCAAAACCATAACAAGGCACCTGGCTCTAGTGGCCAGAGGGTAGAGAGAGTGAGGGTGTGACTTAGGACTTGGCTTGGGACAAGACAGGAAGAAGAGGCAAAGGCTTACGGAGCCAAGAAACAGACAAGTGGCTGGGTCCAGAGCTGGTTCCTAGAAGAAAAACCTGGGCTGGAGAAATATTTGGGGAGTAGGCACGGACCTGAAGATGGTTAGATCACCTAGAGAGTCTGCACATGATGGGTACATAGGACAATTAAGAGTTAGGCAGAGAAAAAGATCACATAGTGATTAGTACAAATCCTCCACAAATTACAAAAAGAAAATAAAAAATGTTCCACCTTTTTTGGGGCAGGACACTGGGAGCAGTGGATGGGAGCAAGAGATATAAATGTGGTTGTGCTGGCACATCTGTATTAACTGCAAGTTGGGTTACTGGTCCTGTTCTTCCTGCAATTCCTATGCTAAGGCTATGTTTTCATTAAAATGTGATAACTCACCAGCCACTGTAGATTAAATCAACCCAGAGAAGAGCTGAGTCAGACATCAACGACGAGTATCAAAGGTTAAAACAGATAAAAGATTGAGAAGGGCTGACAACTAGGTCACTGATAACCAGAAGGATAGTTTCCGGAAAGAGGCGGAAACTCAAAAATCAGTCTGTGCTGGGTAAGGGTTAAAGGAGAAGTGAGGAGAAGGGGGAGGGTGCATAAAGTATTTACCTGCTTATCTGCTTATCTGCTGTGACCCCATCACAGAAATCCCCAGGACAGCAGAGATCTCTATGCCAAGTGAAGATCAGTGTTTGACACCTACTTAGTATTTAATAGATACGTATTACATTTATATAATAGATATGTATTACGTTTATATAGTATCTTGAAGGAATGAGGGTGCTATAGAGAACACAGGGGCAAAGGTAAGTTTTATTTTAATAAAATAGTGAGATACTTGAAAAACTGAACCCCCAAGTTAAATTCACATGGATTGAAATTACAAGCACCTAAATGTTCCCCAAGTGTTCACCGCTGAATTCTTTTGAATAGACTTCTCTAGTTTACTTAGGTCCTATTTTAAGCACTTCTGAAAATTTTAGTGACTGTGAATTTTGTTTTTAAAAAGATAGTACAGTGAGCACTGTTTGTTTCCACAGGCAGATCCTAGAAAAGCCAACTCTAGATGAGTGTGCTTAAGAAAATTAGCACCTGGAATTCAACAGCTGCGCTACAACAGCACAGCAACTTATTCTAAACCTATTTACTGTCTTCCTCACTCTAGAGCTGATACCACTGCTACCAAACCAAATGCAGCTTCACTGCAGATAAAGGCTTTCGTGGAGGAAGGAAAAGAATTTCTAATACCTTTAAAAGGTGTACCTATATGAACAGCTGGCTTCTGGTATCCATTTAAAGTATATAAAGAAGAGAAGCAATGTTACCAGGAAACTGTTAAGAGGGGAAAAGTAAAGGCTGAAAAACAGATGTTAAAAACCCAAATATTTAATCTGAAATTTATTTAGGCCTAGCCAGTGTGGCTCAGTGGTTGAGCTTTGACTTATGACCCAGGAGGACATGGTTAGATTAGATTCCCATTCAAGGCACATGCCTGGGTTGTGGGCTGGATCCCCCACAGGAGCATGCAGGACACAGCCCACTGTTGATTCTCTCTCATCATTGATGTTTCTCTCTCTATATATATATCTCCCTTCCTCTCTATAATCAACACAAGTATATTTAAAATTTATCTAGAAAGCAGTTGAAAGCCACATGATTTTCTAAGATGTAAGGAAACTTCTTACCACACACAGGAACTTACTGACATAAACTCATTAAATGATTACTAAAAAGCTCCCAAGAGTCAGATTTGAATGTGGTTAAATGATTTGTCTTGTAAATTTTCCATTAATATTCAATTACTTTTTAAACATTTTTTTTTCTGCTTTACTGTATAAACAGCTGCTGGTGTTTCACTAAAGAGATTCACAGCAGGAAGTTCTGTGTTGCTTTGTGGAAGCTGCTTCTGCCACACACTTCACATCTGAGCCAATTTTTTCAGTATTGAAACTGGGGTGTTGGATGTGCCACTGAGAAAAAGAATCTTAAACCCATGACAAAGCTTAAATTGGACGGAAACTATCTACCAGCAATAAAAATGTTGCTGGTAGCTACCACGAGACCGCATGTATTTGTACAAATTCAGCATTTTAAGGCAAAGAAGAGCCCTTTGGAACAGAACAACTGCAAAGTCTCTGGTAAAACACCCTGGTTTAATATTAAACCAAAAAAAGGCAAGTGGTTCTCCCACAGCGCCGATAGTTTTCAAGCCGTGCACTGTGAATTCTAGAGCTTAATGGTTCTCTATGGAAATGTTTGTAATTAAGATAGGGAGGCAGATATGCAGTTAACAGTCAAAAGGTCTCTTTTTTATGAAGTGTGACCATGTGTAAGGAAACTTTCTGGCCTAAGTTTATTTGGAAGCCACATATTTTATACTACCTCTGGACGTCAGGAAAAGCAGGGGAAAACTGAAACCTTGGCCATGGTTACTAAAAACGCGGACCCGGGAAGCCGCATTAGAGATATGTGCAAGAAGCCGTGTGCCTGTGCTGCAGCTGTGTGAGATGATGGGGAGGCTGGTTTCCCCGCACCTGTGTGACACTGAGTGCTCAGGCTGGAGGTCCAGGGGCCCTTCGGTGGGGACAGTGTGTGGTGCTGCTCCAAGAACACTGATCCTAATCAGTCGAAATAATGAGACCTAGATAAAATCTCCTTCAAAAATAACCAAAGGCTCCCTTTTCTTTAATTTTTTTTTTCAAATTTTCAACTCCTGTTTTAAGAGGATTTTAAATAAATATTTCTATTCATAAAAAAAATAAAATAAACATTAGCTTGGAGTCAGACCTAAAAGGGCCCTTAATATACTGTAAACCCTTCTTTAAACTGCTAAGAAAACAGGCCCAAAAAAAGTGAAGGAAGTTACCCAAATACCAGAGTAGCCAACCCCTGCACACAGACCCAGTGCTGTCGAAGAGTCCCGGGCTCTGCCCCCCAGGCCCTAAGTGAGCCTGGGCACAGTCCCTGCCAGGGGCACCATGATCTGATTAGGTCAGAAAGGCTGTTCTACCTCCTGTATAACTTAGCCAGGGGCAGGGCAAACTCGGGCTGCTTTCTTTTTATACTGCTAAGTGGACTTGCATGAATATAAAAACTTCAAGTCCAAACAATTTTTCCCTTGACTATAAAATCACTGGAATGCATCCATTAGACTTCACTTTCAGAAGCAAGAGATTTAAGCCATGTTTATAACCTCACAGCTACACTGTCGCTAGATGGCAGCAGAAATCAGGCATATAGAAAGAACAGAGATAATGACCTTTTCCTTATAGTGAAAAAGGTAGATTTTGTCAAGAGATAGTTTCCAATTGACTAAAATAACTTCACTGGTTTTCAGAAAAGCATACCAGCTACCATTTCGACCTGATTAAATATGATTTTTAAAACGGAAACAAACCTATAAAGGAGGTTATAAAGAGAAGTGGGTGAGGGCACTCGCCTCTGCCTATGGCTAATACCTGAAGACAGCAATTGCCCATCCCAAATCCCATGGCGTCCATGTAGATGTGATCCGGCTTCGAAGCCTTCGCCGCCTCGTCATCCTCAGGAAATGTTTCTATAAACGGAGACGGTGTGTTCTTATCTTTAAATACTGGGGGGGAAAAAAGGAATGGGTGTGAGCCGAGGATTAAACAACAACACAACAGGAACCTCTCCACCCACCATCCCTTGGACTCACTTGGCGTATTGATGACCACTTTTTCTCCTCTCCTCTGCCGAATATTTCTGGTTAGGGTACTGAAACAGACAACCAAATGCTGTAAATCAATTCCAACAGTACCAAAGACCCATTATGTAAAAGGAAATTTGATCATATACAAGTAAATGAATGAAATCCTATACCTTCAAACTAATTCTGGCAATAATCAGTTTATAGAGCGTCAGCCTATGGACCCAAGAGTCCCAAGTTCGATTCCAGTCAAGGGCAAGTACCTTGGTTGCTGGCACATATCCAGTAGGGAGTGTGCAAGAGGCAACTGATGGATATTTCTCTCCCATTGATGTTTCTAATTCTCTATTCCTCTCTCTTCCTCTCTAAAAAAAATAAAATAAAATAAAAAAATTAAAAATCAATAAAACATATTTAAAAAAATAATTGTGAGGCCACTCTATAGATAATTTATATGGATCAAGATACTCTGAAGGATCCTCTGAAAAAGAGCTTTACATTAATACCACTTCCCTGGTTGCTTATTCAAGACTGCTGTCTCTCCTGCTTAACCCCTGCTTCCCCAGCTCCCTCTAACTCTCCAGATCATGTGTTTGGAGTCCGCATGGTCTGGTCTCACCCTGCACTTCTAACACTTCCCATGTTAACCCAAACTTTAACCAAACTTTAGTGCTTGCTCTCCTAGGCGTCCTTGGAGCCCCAAGACCTCATTACTGCTGCCCCCAACATGCAGCTTTAATACTTATCCTCTAGACTTGCGATGTCTAGTCTAGAAGCTACGAAGCAAATGTGGCTACTGAGCACCTGAAGTGTAGCTAGTCCTGATAAAAATATGCTGTGAGGAGAAAGATTTTGACAACTTAGTACAAAAAAATTTCATATTAATACTTTAAAAATAGAGATTAAAGTGAAATAATATTTTAGGTATATAGGGTTAAATAAAATATATTATAAAGCCAAGTCTACATTTTTAACTTTTTAAACATGGCTAATAGAAAATTTAACATCCTGCTGGGGAGTGCTCTGTAGACTCGGTAGTGCCACCGCCTCAGGAGCCTGCATGGCTCCTCAGTCAGAAGCACCTACTCTCCCCAGGAGGACCCCTGCATCCCCACTTCCTTTTTTTTAACCTCAGAGGATATGTTTATATTGGCTTTTTTAAATATATATTTTATTGATTTTTTACAAAGAGGAAGGGAGAGAGATAGCTAAAAACGTCAATGAGAGAGAAACATCGACCAGCTGCCTCTTGCACACCCCCTACTGGGGATGTGCCTGCAACCAATGTACATGCCCTTGACCGGAACCGAACCTGGGACCTTTCAGTCCGCAGACCAACACTCTACCACTGAGCCAAACCGGTTTCGGCTATATTGGCTTTTTTAGAGAGAAAGGGAGAAAAAACAATCAGTTGTCCCTTATATGCGCCCCCATGGAAGATTGAACCCATAATCTAGGTATGTATGTGCCCTGAATAGGTATCTAACCTGCAACCTTTTGGTGTGCAGGATGATGCTCTAACCAAAGGAGCCACTGGCCAGGGCAGTGCTACCATTTTTTATTTTTTTTTAAGCATCATAAGAAATGCCAACATCCCTAACTCTAGGTCAGGAACCCAGGTTCAGGATGAAGAGTAAGACTCAAGGTACAAAGTTAGTAGACTGATGTGGGCCCTGAGGCAATTTAAACCAAAGAATTAAACAGGAATAGACCTAGAAGATAACAGAACAAAAGATGGAGAGTGCCTAATTATATGCAGATGTACATAATTTACCTTATTATCAGGGTACACAGAATGGGGAGAACAGATCACAGACACTGGTGGTAACTTAGAGGGCAAAAAATAGAAATAGCTAAGGGAAAGCTTCCCAAAATAGGTGTTTACAGAACTAGGATGGAAAAGAATCTGCTCACTAAAGGAGAAAACAGTGGCTAAGCAAGTTAATGACCTTAAGACAAGTTGGAAATGGGCAAGTCAAGCCTGGCCCCAGAAGCAATAATCAAGCAGCCTTGGATACACAACAGGGGGAGGGGTGTTGTGTGTGTGTGTGTGTGTGTGTGTGTGTGTGTGTGTGTGTGTGGTCTTCTCTGGTTAATTACAGAGGGAGCCAGAACTCAGTAAATGCTTGAAAAGGATTCCCAGGCAGGCATATCCTCTCAGAAGGCAGAGATCTGAGTGAGAGGCACCTGTTTTTAAACACAAAGCCATACTCACCTGAAGCGGGGATGCTTGTTTATTGCTTCATCAGGAAAGAAGAGGGACCTGGAAGCTCCTTCCAATGGGTTGGGTTTGACCTCGGGCAGCGTGAACCCAGGACAGCCTAATCTACAACAAATTGAGTTAATTATGCCTCATCATCATTGCACCTTTGAAGATACGGAGCATCTATCATTCCCTTTTCCAGAGGGTCAAGCACACAAATGGTTTGTAAATATTATGCTCCATCACAACTACGCCTTTGCTTTTCTTATTCACCAAGATCTTCTTTTGTGATTCCAGGCCTTTACTAACCTCAGCAGAGAACTTCGTTCACTCGTCGCCACAGAACACCCTCTAGAGCAGCAGTCGCCAACCAGTGCTCCGTGAGGTCTGAAAGGATGGCGACTGCTTCTCTAGAGAAGGCCCATCTCTTCATTTAATAACATCAACCCACGGCACAGGTACATCAGCGGTAAGGTGCCCCTATTTAGCTGCTGAGGCTTCTTTTACTAGCTCTAAACTATCAGCTTATCTTTTGACCCTTGTACTGGCCCTGCCCCCAACCCCCTGGATAAGTTTGGCCTGAATCTGAAAGGGGTCTCCTGTTTTTTGCCTCTGCAGGTCACTTCACAAATCCCTCAAGATTAGATTAAGTAGTGTCTCCACTGGTGTCCCCATCCACCCCTGAGATCTCTCTCTGAGGTCTGAAACCCAACCCTATTATCTACTTGACCTAAAGAAGAGTTTTAGTTCTGACACAGAAAAGGGAAGCTCTCTATGCATCCCTGAGCTGAAAGCTCCAATTCCACCTCACTTGCCATCACACCACCTGTTCTTCAAGTTAAGAATTTTAAGGTCATTGGTAAGTGTGCTGTGAGAGAGGACAAAGACAATCAAGTTAGTGAAAGCAACACAAGGGAGGCTCTTGTCAGGCTATAGATCAGTGGTAGGAAACTTGGTTGAGAGCCAAGACTAGCCCCCACGCCTCACTTCCTCTGTGAACAATTGAATTTGCTGATCTTATCTAGAAAATAGTTCCCAGGGTTGCTGGCACTCCTGTGGCACATGCCATGTGCGATAGGGAGTCCTTTGGGGGAGTGACAAGTTCACACAGGCATTCTCCGCCAGGGCATTGATCTGGGGGTCAGAGCTCAGATCCTCAGACTCCTGCACAGCTCTGCTTTGCTTCTGGACCAGCACCCCCACAGAACCTCCTGCCAAGATGGCCAGGTTAACACCCGTACCGTCCACTCTCAGCATGTGGTCACTAGCCACAGGAGGCCTCTGAGAGCTGGACTGCAGCCAGTGTGACTGGGGAACTAAATTCTTCATTCCCTGAAATTTGATTAAATTTATGTCATATAACTGTTATTTTGGACTATAATTCCACACTAGAGAATTTTTTACCTCTTTACAGAGAGAAAAAATCATACTGTTTTACACTTAAGAAACCAAGTACTATTTTTACTGTTGATCCCAAAAAAAACTTTATCATTTACTATAGATGTAAGGTGAAGCTTCTACAACTTCTACAACTAAATATTATTCTTGGTTTGTTTTTAATTTCTAAAATATGTTCGGCTTTTTGAATAAAATTTATTTCATTGTTTCAACTCTCCCTCATAATGACTTAAGCAGCTCAATTTTAAAAACAAAGGGGGGCATGGGTGGCAATGGTTTCATAGAGCCATTAACAGGAAGAAAAGACCCATTAGATTTAATTTTAAAAAGTCCGTTTGCAGCCCATTGCCACACTATTAAGTGAAAACAATTCTTGTTTGTATTACAAACCTCTTTTTCTTTTTAATTTGCTAAGTGAAAGATAGAATCCTCTAATGTTAAGGGGGAAAAAGGAAAATTTAAATACTGAAACTTATCAAATAACACCTGTAGCCTACTTATTATTCTAAATTTCATAATAATTACTTAACCAGAAGCCTTGCCATCTTTTCTCTCCACCACCACGTTTGCTGGTTTTTCGGTCTCTTCATCTATCCACTTTCTCCATCTCCACAACCCACCCTCTGCAGGCTGCCCTCATCTTCCCACTGAGCCCCACGCTGGTCTCCTAGCAAGCCCTGCACCCATCCTACAACCACACTGACACCACAGCCCACGTGCGGGGCTGTAGAACTAAAACGTGATGGGATCCGCCCAACCCAACCTTCCCAAGGCCTCCCACTGCTTTTAGGATAGCAACTGAAATTCTTAGCACAACTGGCCCACCAACTACCTGCCCGGTGTCACCTTACCCCACACTTCCATTTCATTCTCAGCATCCTGGTCACACTGGCCAGCCTAATTCCAGCTCTGAAGGCTCGGTGCTCCCCTGGCTCATCCTAGGACTTGTGCCCATGCTGTGTCCCCTCCCTAGTACAGCCTTCCCTCTCCCCTCCTATTAAGCTCCTACTAGAACCTGGAATGTTGCTACCTGGGCGGCATCTTCCTCCACTGCGCAGAGGCCACGAGACAAACACGTCACTCTCTATGTGAGCTACACCCCCTCACTGCTTTCCATCATGGTCCCATGCTCATTGCGTGGGTCTGGTGTGGAGCAGGCGCTCAGGTATCCTGTGAATGGCAGTCATGATTTCCTTACCGCCTTCAAACAGTGGGCAAAGGAACATGCCAATTCTCTTCCAAACACACCTGCCCACCCTCCCCAGCTGGGGTTTTTATTTCTGGCAGAGAGAGGGGAGTGCACTAATAAACAAAGAATCACAGAAAATAAGAGATGTTTTTCTAAATGTTTGATGAGTTGCTTAAACAGGTTTGAACTATTTAGATGTGACCATGGAAATGTTAAAAAATAAAATTATTATCCAAGTGTCCTAAGACCAATGGAATGACTCTGAATGCCTGTGTTCATTACAGACATTTATCAAACTGTTCCAAGACATAAATACTAACCCCCAAAGCTCTTTTGAACTTTGAGGAGGTGAGCACACTTGGTAACACTCTGACGGATATTTTAGCATAGATCAGATTGACGATTTGGTAGAACTGTATTCTTACGTACAGGTCCTACATATCATTGTAGCATATTTATGTACCTCATTGTAAGCTAAGAACATAACCTCACTATTTCTATTTACTGAATATTTATGAACTTTTAGCCATCACTAGATTAGGTATAAATGAAGCTAAAAACTGCTTTACATTCCAAATTAGACAAATCTAAAACTTTCTTTTCCACATAATATCCAAATATATGGAAAAGAAAATTTTCCACGTATTTTTATTTCTGGCAGGGAGAGGGAAAATATGACCTAATGTCCCTCCGCCCCTTGTTCAATGCCATAGTGCCCCGGGGGCACTGATGGTGGCCCTCCAACAGGTGACCTCTGATAGGCCACCAATGTCACCCTTTACCGGTAGGCAAACACATGTGAGGGTGCAAGAGCACTTGATCAGGAGACTCACTATTCCTCACAAGGTCAGAGCTGCATAGCACAGGATATGCTGCTCCCTCCACCCTGCCTGGAGGAGGCTGCCACTCTGCTACCCAGCCACAGTGGTCCTCCTGGTCTTTCCCACCAAGCCCAGACACAGCCCTTACCACAGTGCTCCAGGCCACCACCATCCACGGGAGCTGGATGTGCAACGTCTGCCTATAGCTTTAACAGGAGGCTGCCTAAGGCAGTGCTGTGAAGAATGACCAGTCTGTGGTCTGTCAAGTATGAGAACTGTAGAGTCAAGTGCTTGGTCATGATTTGCTCTTTAAAACCTTGAGCTCCAAACTGTCCCCTGGGGCATGTTCACGTAGAAACTAACCTGGGAAATGAAGTTATTGTGCAAACAGCCTGATTTTCTTTTAATAAAGAAGTTGCCTCCTTCCGGCGCTGTCTCATGTTGTCTTCGACTGTGTTAAACTCGGACATGGTTCCTCCGTATGGCTGTCCAGGCGTCCCTTCAATCATGTAACTCGCGTACTCCGGTCTCCAAAGTGTAGGGTGGCTGCAGAGGAGGAAAAACATTTGCTTCATCTTATTCTTTGCTGCAGTCTATTCGATTCTTAGAAGTTCTTTTAAAGCATTGCCTCAAAAATGTTAGAAACTATTAGGTATATATGAAGCTAAACTGTTTTTTAATTCCCAAAGGCCATTAATTTTCTATAGCTCTTCAACTATATAAGGATTAAAAGTACCAGGCCCAAAATATTTATAAGTAACTGAAAACAGGCACAGGGCACTCTCTGTCCAGACAAGCTAGACCCTGTGCAGAAAAGGAGATGAGGCCCTAAGGTCTCTTTCAGTTCTGGGCTGAGGTGAGGAGAAAAATAAACCGCAGAGTACAGGCCCTCTTCCCCTCTTTGTCTAGTTAAATAAATATTTAGAAAATATCCCATCAGCCAAACAAAACCAATCTGCAAATTTAATCTGGCACCACAGTTCGTAGTCTCAGTAACATATGGCAATTTTAAAAAATAATTAGCTATATTTTGCCTTTACTGTTCTAAGTGCTTTAATATATTAATGGGTTTTGAAATGTCAACACTCTCCAAGGTAGATTTCATTATCCCTACCATACAGATGAGGAAACAGGCACAGAGGAGTTAAGTGACTTGCCTAAGGTTACCCAGCAGTTAAGTACAGGGACCAGGATTTGCACCCGGGCAGCTGGGAATCAGAACCCGGGCTCTAAACTGGTATGCTCTCCTGTTCCTTTACATCCAAGGAGAGAGTCTATGCTAGTAGTTTGACAGTTTCAGAAACACTAGAACAGCTTACTTTGGGTTTTTCTTTTCCCCCTTTTCTTGTAGAGCCTCAACGACTTCTTCTCCAGACAGGAGCAACTGGACTCTTTTATTTTCATGATCAAAAGACACCAACATGTATTCCACCTGTTGAAATTAAAGAGAGAAAGATGAATATTCTTTCAGGTTGGTGCCCAGTGTGACCTTTAAGAGAAGAAGGCAGGGAAACATGGAGGTTGGAAAGGATCGACAATAACTTTATTATTTTTATTTTTTTAAAATATATTTTATTGATTTTTCACAGAGAGGAAGAGAGAGTGATAGAGTTAGAAACATCGATGAGAGAGAATCATCCATCAGCTGCCTCTTGCACACCCCCTACTGGGGATGTGCCCGCAACTCAGGTACATGCCCTTGACCGGAATCGAACCCGGGACCTTTCAGTCCGCAGGCCGACGCTCTATCCACTGAGCCAAACCGGTCCTGGCAGGATCGACAATAACTTTAGACTCACATTCCCTGACACGAAGGCATAAAATAAACATTTGTTTGCATAATATGAAAACCTGGAGAAAATGGTTAACAGTGGCACTGAGGATCACCTAATTCCTTCTTTCCCCTCTTATTCTTAATATCCTAAAAGAAGTCGAGATGCCCATTTTGTAAAATTGTACTTCAAGAGAAAGTATTTTAAGCTAAGATTCTATACATTACATTGGCAAGAAGTTGCATTTTAAAATTTATTTCCTCAACTGGCTTATTATAAAGTGGGTAATCTGGGCATTTTGACCCAAGGTAGGTGGATCCTTACTTCCTGGCAGGTTATTTAATAATCACACTTAAGTTCCACTACTGTAGAGTTCAATAATCAACACACCAATATGGAGCAGTTATTTTAGGAGTTTCAACCAGTTGGTGCAAGCCATGTCAAACTCTCTGCTTGCCTCATTTATTTGGACCGTGTCAGCCTTTGAATTTGACCTGCTTGATTCTGTTTTTCAATAAAAATGTAAGACAACTTCCCAACTCTGAAACCAGATCAAATTGACAATGCAAGGTGATCTAGGGCAGTAGTCAGTAATTTGTGGCTCTAGAGCCACATGCGGCTCTTTGGCCCCTTGAGTGTGGCTCTTCCACAAAATATGCGTGTGGGCGCACACGTACAGTGCAATTGAAACTTTGTGGCCCATGCGCAGAAGTCAGTTTTCGGCTCCAAAAAGAAATTTCAATCATTGTACTGTTGATATTTGGCTCTGTTGATTAATGAGTTTGTCGACCACTGATCTAGTGCATTTATAACAATACCTGGGGGAATTCTGATAAAAATCAGAGTTCAGTACTTCTGGACAGAGTACACATAAAACCTACTTTTGGTTTCCCTCAAATCAGGTTCTTTAAAAGTCATGATTATTGATATGAACAGTGAGGTTTATGAATCTCCACAATTGAAATAAAACACACATTACCCATATTTAAGTGAAAGGTATGGAAATAGATCTTCCAGGCAAACACTTGAGAGTACCTTTTGCACAAGACAGAGAAGATGAGGCAAACTGATGCCCCACAAGGCAGACCAATACACAGATGTATTTTGTTTGGCTTATCATATGAAAATAAGAAATTTTTTTTAAAAAGCAAGCAACAATACATCTACTACCTGACAGCTGCTTGTCAATTCAGATTCCCAGCCTTAGAATCACACACCCAGAGCCCAGCACTATGTCAGGGTCCTGCAGGGCTGGGGCTGGGCTGCTCCCCTTTGGGGGGTGCTCTGTGGTCCACAGTGGCCTATTCCCTTTTATATGTGTACCTGTCCCACCTTGGAAGGCATGTGAGCCAGCTTTCCTTAGCACAGAAATGGTACCCTTCAAGAAATGGTTTTGCCCTTCAGCTAAAAAATAGAATTAACCGGGGGTGGAGATGAGGGGGTGAGGGGGGTGTTAGGAACCATATGATATAGCCTGGTAAGTTTAAGCAACAAAATAATGAACTTTCTTTTCTTTTTCTTTTTTTAAAATATATTTTATTGATTTTTTTACAGAGAGGAAGGGAGAGGGATAGAGAGCCAGAAATTCGATGGGAGAGAAACATCGACCAGCCGCCCCTTGCACACCCTCTACCAGGGATCTGCCCGCAACCAACATACACGCCCCTGACTGGAATCGAACCTGGGACCTTTCAGTCCACAGACCGATGCTCTATCCACTGAGCCAAACCGGTTTCGACAAAATAATAAACTTTCAATTAACTTTTGTTAACTGTTGCTATGGACTGAATGTTTTTGTCCCCCAAAATTCATATGTAATAGTATTTCATTTCCAAAATAATAGTATTTGAGGTGAGACCTCTGGGTAGTTAGGTCAGGAGAGTAGAGTCCTCATGATGGAATTAGTGCTCTTAGAAGACAAGTGATCTCTCTCTTCAATGTGGGAGGACACAGCAAGAAGGCTGAGCCAGGATGGGGCCCTTCCCTGGAACTAAATCTGCTAACACCTTTGACCCTGGACTTCACAACTTCCTGAAGTGTGAGAAATAAATGTCTGTTTAAGCCATCCAGTGTGTGGTACTTGTTACAACAGCCTGAACGGACAAGATAGTTACTTTATCAGTGAGTCTAAGTTCCCATTCATGCTTCTCCATTAAAATTTTTCAGTTCAAAAAGTAGGTAAGACTACTTGATTTAGGTACATGAGCTAGTAGTGTACAATCACTCCATGTGAAATGCCTGAAACTTGGGCGGCAGAATCTGGAACTGCTCTCAATTTTAAGTACAGGCTTTCAGATAGCATCTACAGACCCATGACGTCTGAATAACTAAAACATGATGGAACAGGAACCTTTAAGTCTCAGGATGAATATATAAAGTATCATAGGTATGAGAAACAAATTTACCACTAAATGATCATAATGAGAAAAGGTATGCCATGAACTTTGATTTATGGATTCTGATCTTCAAACCCATCAAGCCAAGTTGACATTTTCACCCTTTCCAGATAGGCAAAGAGGCTCAGAGATGCCGAATAAGTAGCCCAAGGCCACAGTATCAGAGCAGGGATTTGAGCCCAGCTCTGACTGGCCCAGCACACCTTACTGCTAGGACTATAGAGGATGCCAGTTTTTGTTAGAAATAAGCTTTTTGTTAGAAATAAGCTTTTTTTTAAAAAAAAAAATTGCAGTAAGCTATGTGAGGCAGGGAAAAGGTTATAATACTGGCTGAAAATCTCTCAAATTGATTATGCCTCAATTTTATGAGGTGGGCCTGACAATGTATCATAGTAGCTGAGATATAACAGTATGGTTACAGATTTAAATACATGCGTAGGCTCATCTCTTAGGCTCCGGACGGACATGTGCTCTATCCAGCATTCCTAACTCTCCCAGTTACAAGGAATCTTCTCCTTCAGTACCCGTTCCTTCTATCACTAGATTCAACATATCTGCCTGGCAGCATATGTTCTCAGGGTTATCTTCTGAAAGATAAAGAGAAACTTCCTAGCTTACTGGGTTCCCATCATTTACTATCATTATGAACAAGAACTTTTGTACCAATTGCATAACCTAAATTGCAATTACTTTTGTTAGTTTCCTAGTTTTTAAATAGTTGAAATTCAAAACTCATTCTTAGCCCACAATTTAGAGCATGGGCGGGCAAAAAAGAGCCAAGCACTCAAACTCAGTTTGAGCTTTACATACTAGCCAAATGGATGATACTTAAAATGCTAACAAACCCAATTCTCAACTAAAAAATATTCAGCATCCATCTCATTAAGCAAATGAAACAGAAAAATATCAGAGCACTTATCAAGTGAGAAAGAAAAACTTACTTCTGGAAACAAATCCAAATTCAGTTAGAAGCCTTAAAACTCCCGGAAGATTTTTCAAACTCAAAATTTAAGGCGTTCTGAAGTAGCTGTCCCTACAGTCACCTTAACCATTCTGTACCAGGGCCCAAAGTGGTTCTTTTGTTATCTTATTTAATCCTTCCCCCACCAACTTCAATACATTTGTATTTGTTTCCAATTCTAGTTCATACAAACGTTCAAATAACTAACTCAATCTTTATGAGTCAAACTAGAGCTAAAATGGATTTTGGCTCAGTAATCTTGCTGTTGAGAGGTAATAAAAAGCGATACAATAAGACAATGCTTTCCCAATATAAAATACCTAAAACCACAGTGATTTGTTTTATTCCTTCTGGAGTTAGTCCCTATCCTAAATTTTTCTGCAAACAAGAGATGAGAGGAAAAGATAAAATCAAAGAGAAAATAACAAAACAGGATATACAGGCCCTTAGGTACATAACGTAGATTCCAATGATTAAATTGAATCCAGTTCCTGACTTCAAATAGCATGTAGGCAGTACACCCAGAGTTATAGCAACATCTATGTGCACCACACACGCACAACTCCAAAAGTGTATGCCCAAAGAACATAAAATGGACTGCAGAGTAACTAATCCAAATCTGTGTAATTAACACATCATTTGGAAAAAGCAAAAATAGCCACTGTACTATTCTCAGTACACAGATCATAATACCCTAGATGTAACTTAGGGACACTGCTATTTGGTGCCCATCAGTTGTCTTTTTTAGTGGAGGGAGAATAAACCCCATAAAAATAACCTACCACTCTTTGTGAGAAACTCATATTTTAAAAATGCACATTACTCTTTCTACAAATGAAAATCTTTAGAATTTCATTCTTAAATGGCTAAATGTTATCCTACTAGAATAACAGTCACTAATATCTCTAAGCTGTTTAATCAAAGGCACATTCAAAGACTATTATATAGTTTACTGTTACATAGCATTGCTAGGAATGACGTGTACACAGTAACCCTTTAGTTATTTAATGCAGGTTTGCACAAGCACAAGATGCCTTATTCATCTGAAATTAGGCCAATAAATATAATCTTAATTGAGGGTGATGTAAGTACTCAGTATAATGCTGATCATATAGTAAACTGTGAAATATTTGTGGCATTGAAGTTCAAGGTAACAGTAAATATTAACTGTAAACATTAAACTTTTTAGTATGTTTGTTGTCTTTAAATGGTATTTACTAAGTTTAAAATAAAAGTTTTCCTTTTTAATACTACAACAAAAACATTCTGATACTCTTCCATTAAGGTGCGGGATACGGAAAAC